AGAAACTTTTTTTTTATCCTCACCCGAGGACATTTTTCCTTTTTTTTTTTTTTTTTTTAAATTCAGACAGAGTGGGAGGGAGACAGAGGAAGAGAGAGAAAGAGAAACATCGACATGAAAGGAACACATCTAGTGGCTGCCACCCGCACGACCAACCAGGGCCAGGGACAAACTGCAACTGAGGTACGTGCCCTTAGCAGGAACCGAACCCGGGTCTCTCTGGACTGCAGACTGACGCTCTAACCACTGAGCAAACCGGCCAGGGCTGGATATCAAGAAACTTAAATGTCCCATCACACTAAAGAAAGAATAATGGAGACGTTTTAAAATAATTTACACTGAACAATTCTATATTCAAAAGAACGTGAGCTGCAGCTAAAGCGTTCCTTACTCTGTAGCTATAAAGGCACCTGCGCAAGGAAAGGAGGAAAAATGACGAGCTGTGTACATAGCGTAAGAAACTAGAACAAGAAAAGCAAAGTAAACCTAAGGAGCATAAAAAATGGAATAAAGATAAAAACTAATTTAATTTTTAAAACTTACAAGCCAGTGGTAAGACTGATCAGAGTGTCCTACCTGCAAGAAGAGTCAACCCAGGCCCTGCAGACGTTTAAAAAATAAAAGAACAGAACAGGGCCGGGTACTTCAGTAGGCCGGAGCATCGTCCCAGACACAGTGAAAGCTGGGGTTCAGGTCCCTGGTCAGGGCACGTATGGGAGGCAGCTGATCAATGTTTCTCTCTCACATCAATGTTTCTTTCTCTCCCTTTGTCACTCTCTAAAAATCAATGAACATATCCTCAGTGAGGATTTAAAAAAAAGAAAAAGAAAAAGAAAAAGAATAGAACAAAGAGCTTCATGCTTATAAACCTGAAAATCTAAACGAAATGGACAAATTCCCAGAAAAATATATTTCCAAAACTAACCCAAAGGTATTCTACAACCAAAGCAACCAAATCAGGAGGTAAACTTCCCACAAAGCAACTCCCAGCTCAGGTCATGCTACAGGTGATTTCTCCCAAAACACTCACGGAACAATTACAGCTTTACACAAAGATGGCACCATTTGTCCCACAAGGTGCCTCGGCACCAAACTCTGATACAGGCAGCAGACGACGGGGTCACAGCCCTAGTCGGAGACGGAGAGTCCTAAACAAACACTCACAACTTAAACCTGCCAATGGAGGCACAAGACGCTACACTTGCAAGAATGGGCGGCTTAATACTAGAAAACCCATTTATGTATTTACCATGTTGGCAATTAAATGAGGCCCTTAATTAATTAATTAATTTATTTGTTTTGTTAATCTTCACTCAAGGATATTTTCCCCCTGGTTTTCTTTTTTCTTTTCTGTTTTTTTTTTTAGAGAGTGGAGGGGAGGGAGGGAGAGAGGGAGGGAGGGAGAGAAACATTGATGAGAGAGAGACACATAAATTAGTTGCCTCCCACATGACCCCAAATGGGACCAGGAATCGAACCTGCAACCCAAGTGTGTGCCCTTGACCAGGAATCGAACCTGAGACCCTTTGGTCCAAGGGCTGAAGCTCTAACCACTGAGCAACACCGGCCAGGGCTATGAAGTCCTTAATTTAAAAAGTGTTTGATTACATTCGACATCCACTCACAGTCAGAATAAAACCTGAGGCACAACCGCCACAGCCATTAGAAGAGCTAGAACTGAAATGCCATGGAAGGTAACAGCTGGCGGCAGTGGCCGACGGTGCCACCACTTCAGAAATCCAGCAGTTTCACGTGAAGCTGACATGCACCCACCTGCCCTGTGGCCAGTTACTACCGGAGAAGTGAAAAGACACATTCCCACAGCCTGTACCAGAACGGTCACAGCAGCTTTGAACACAATGGCCACCGCCTGGAAACAACCCAAACGCCTACCACTGGGAGAGGTTTAAACAGAGTGTGGCTTGTTCCTCCAGCGGGACAGCCTGCAACAAGGAGAGGGAAGATCCTGGGGCGCAGTGCTGACAGGTCAAGGCCAGGCCGGAGCTCCCTGCACACCTGGAAGTCCGGGGACCAGTGGGGGACCTGCTGGGGTGCTGAGTGGGCATGCAGCTGTCAAAATTCACACTTCTAGCTGCAGATCCTTCTGTGTGCGCACACCGAATCTCCGTGACCTCCCTCAAATGGGCCAAGGGGTGAACAAGGAGGGTGCGGAAAGGGTATGGGCACATCTGTAGACAAATGTCCCACCTCATAACCTAGCAATCAGCTCGGGAACCTCAGCAGTGGGAAGTGCACAGATCTACCTAAAGCGACCCAGACGCTGCTGAGCTCGGGGAACAGGATGCAGGGGAGGGTGGACCCTACCAGGTGAGGCTGGAGGCTCAAGATTAGTGGGGAGGAGCGCTGTGTCACCACAGGGAAATCCACAGAACCCACCCCACCCCCGACACCCCAAGAGGGAAGAGCAAAAAAGAGACAGGCTAACAGCAGCCTGACAGGTCTCGGGAGCATCACAGGCCAAGAACACCTCATCTGAAGAGGGGATCCCAACACATCCTGATGAAACAGGATCACTCCCCCAAAGAAGCTGCTGAGACTAAGTCAGGAAAGGAGGAAGAAAACTGGCAGAAGAAAGGAAGAGGAATTTCGCTGATGAGGGTGTTCAAACGGCCTACATTAGCAACCAGAGGTTAAAATGAAAGACACAATACCATTTCACACCTACAGATAAGGCAACAATTGAAAGCCAGGCTGCGGCCCTGGCCAGTTTGCTCAGTGGTTAGAACGTCAGCCCACAAACCAACAAGCTGTGAGTTCGATTCCGGTCAAGGGCACATACCTTGGTTGTGGTTCAATCCGCGGCCCTGGTCGGGGTTTTGCGGGAGGCAGCAGGTCCATGTGGCTCTATCATGTCGATGTTTCTCTCTGTCTCTCTCTGTCTCTCTCTCTGTCTCTCTCCTTCCCTCCCACTCTATCTGATGGTAAATAAAAAGTATCCTCTGGTGAGGAATAAAAAAAAAGTCAGGCTGTGTTGGCAAGAATGCCCGAGGGGGCCGGGTGACAGGCCTGCCCACCCACAGGAGACAATTTAAGGGGCAGGGACCACATGCCGACAACAGCACAGTCCTAACTGGCCAAAACCTGGAAATAAGCCAAAGGCCCTCTGACAGAGGGGAGAAGCTCGCTGCTCTCTGACAGGTCACCACGCAGCAGTGACAGACATCAGCACGGACACCACTCAGAAACTTAGAGATCAGGCGAAACCAAGAACAGAGAAAATATGACCCTTTCATATAAATCACCACAGAGCACAACTAAGCCCAGCCTGGCAAGGACACCCACTCAGGGGGCACAGCAGGGCCCAAACCTCCTCTGGGGACAGGGAGGGGCCTCAGCAGAGCCCATGTTTCGTACAGACTGCCATCAACTCTGCGCCTGACCACTCTAATGGCAGCTCCCCAACACCCAGTGCTGTCCAGCCCACAGGGGTACACACACCAAGTAGGCTTCCTACAGCAGCTCCATGGGGGGGGACTGACACAGCCCCCCATGCAACCCTGGCCTCTCTTGTACTTCCCCTATCCCAGTTAAAACTTGGTGGTTTTGTGGAACCCCGGAAGCCAATGGAGAGGCACAGCACATGCAGGCAACACTCTGCACCATGTCTGGGAGCAAGGGACCAGGAGGGGGCACGTGGGGGCTAGGGGAGCTCTAACAGAAAGGTCCAGGGGGGTGCTGGTGACAATGCAGAGGGCCCAGACAGGAGAAGCCTGGGGATAGAGGGTCCAGTATGACCCCTGGCTCTGAGACCCAGCACCAGGGCAACTGCCAAGACAGGAAAAGGAGAGGAGCCCAGGCCGGGGGAGAAACTCCTGAACTTGGCTTTGAAGCCCACCCTATTCACTCAGCACAGCCGAGGCCCTGGCCTCTCAGCCCTGCACTCTGGGAGGGCAAACCCTCTGCATCCCCAAGGCTTCACTCAGCGACACCTGTTGAAGGAGCTGGGGCAGAATGCGTGGCCCCTTCGGGGCACACGAGCCACCTCCCCTGCCGGGATGGCACTCCTGAGATCCCTGGCCGTAGGCCTCCCCAGGGAAAACTCCTCTCTGCAGCCCACCTGCAGCCCGCTGTCTATTCCAGAGCCAGGTCCTGGTGCATCACCCTCAGCCTGGAGCTTCACCAGCAGGGACCACCCCCGGAAGAAACCCGCAGAGCCTGAAGCTGATGGGACAGACGGGGAAGTCTGGAGTCTGAGTGGAGTGGGGCTGGCCACAGCACTAGCCTATGGATAAGTCTCCTCCAGCTGTTACCACTGGGCGAAGCGTCTTCCCCAAGTGGGAATCGAGTGTTTTTTTCGATGGCAAAATTAACAACATGATGCAGAGTCGTGTTTATGGACAAGCAGATGTCTCTAAATTACCGGGCACCATGCACACGCGGGAAGGGCCCTAACACTAAGCAGCACAGAGGGGAAAGCCCAGGCCCCAGGACAGCCGATGAAGGATGTGCTGAGTGAAGGAGTACAATCGCGGTCCTAGGTCTGTGTGTTCTCTGGACAGCGGGCCCCGAGGGCTCACTCCCAGGCCACTCAGGCTTCAGAGTGTGGCTGGAAGCAAAAGGAAATCTGTGGTACCCGGTGGAGAGAGAGACAGCCTAGGTCAACTCCACCAGCACGTCAGTGGGCAGATGCAAGCACGCCGGCTGGGAGGCAACCAGGTGGGCGCCCGAGAGCCTGGGAGACGTGGGCCTGGGGCACCCTCCGCGCTCAGGGGTTACCCGCAGGGAACGCGTGTGCCCGCCCAAGGAAGGGCGCAAACGCCACGGACCCGGGCGGACCCCGGGTGGCCGGTCCCGGGCGGAGGTCCCAGATGGAGATCCCGGGTGGAGGCCCCGGATGGCCAGTCTCGGTGGACGGCCCCCGGGTGGGGGTCCCGGGTTGGGGCGCCGGTGCCAGGTCCCCAGTGGCCGGCCCGGGTAGGGGCCCCGGGTGGCCGGCAGGTGCGCGCGGGAACAAAGCGGCCGGCCGGGCGGCGGCGTACCTGGGCACGCAGCTGGGGCTGGAGCCGTCCACCTCCCAGGTAGCGAACAGGTTCATGGGCACCGGCGTGTTGAGCGCGGCGGGCCCGCCGGCCAGGCCCAAGCGGCCCCGCTCGGCCATGGCGCCGGCCCCCCGCTCCTCAGCGGCCTGGAGCTGCGGCCGGGCCGCGGACGCGCGGCGGCGGCGGGCGGCGGGCGGGCCGGGCGCGCGGAGGGCGGTGGCGCGGTCACATGGCGGCTGGGCGGCTGGGACCGCCGGGCGGGCGGCGGACAGGCCCGCGGGCGGCGACGAAGCTGCAGCCGCCCCGCCCCGCCCCGCGCGCCCCCGAACGGCGTGCCCGCGCCGCGCGACCCCGGGCTCCGACCGCGCCGCCGCCGTCGATTGGCTGGGCGAGCGCGCGCTCACCACCTCAGGCCCAATCACGGCCCCGCAGAGCGCTCGCCGGAAGTGAGCTAAGCGCACACCCTCCCCGTCGGCGCCGCGCGAGGCATCCCCGCCCGCAGCCCAGGGGAGCGCGCGCCCGAGCCTGTGCACAGGCCCCGCCCCGCGCGCCCCGCCCCGCCTCCCGGGAGCGGCCGGGAGGAGCCGAGGGGGACATGGGTCCGCCCGCCGGGCGCGCCCACCCAGCGAGCTTTCCTCTGCCCCGGTCGCGTGGTCCCCCAGGAGCATTCGTTGTCTCCACGCACCAACCCGGGCTTTTGTGCGTCCTCTGAGTCTCCCAGTCCCCTGCGCACTCTTCTTGTCCCTTGGTGCCCTTCTGTCCCCTGCCGTCCCCTGTGTCTCGCCCACGAACTTCCTAGACCCCTGGGCCCCACGCCTCTCCTGCCCCCCGCAGGGCCTGACAGACGGCCGAGGGACGCCGTGCAGCCCGGGGACCACCTCTGCCGCCGCAGGGGTTTACGCTGGCCCGGTCCTGTCCCCGACCCCCAGCTCACGGTGTGGAATTGAGCCTCCATAAATCCCCTCTGGGGTGTTCTCTTCCTCCCGATCCTCCTTATTATCCAGCAACGCCCTCTCTGCGATTTTTAGAAAGACAATGGTGAACAAATATCTGGAGGCAGAGGCGGCTCCTGACCCGGGGCTCACAGTGAACTTGAGGACCCAGTGCCCACTGGGTCCATAGGGCAGGGAAGGTGGGAAAAGGCCCTAAGAAAGGACATCTAGGTTTAGGGGCCAAGAGCTCCCCTCCCCCCATCCTTTTGGCGGTGGTTCTGGTCAGTCACCAGATGCTGAGATTTAGGAAAAGGTTTCCTGGCACCTCCTCTGTTCCTTTGTATTCACGGTATTACACAGTTGCGGTTCCTGTGTGTGTCATGTTGTCCACAAGTAGTTTTACTGAAACAAGTCAAACTGACTTCCTTCCACTGCCCTCCAGGTTCACATGCCAGAGCCCCTGGGAGCTCTTTCTCCAGCAAAAGACCCCCTCCCACCCAGCCTCCAGCTGTAACTCTGTGTCTGGAGCCGAAAACAGCTGCGGCTGCTTAAAGCCAGGGGCGCACTTTGGAGAGAACAAGAGAATCTGTGTTTCCCACGTGTTCCAGCCCCTTTGGGTGGTGCAACTGACAGCCTGAGGGTCTGTTCTGCTCCGCCAGCTGACTGCTGTTGTCGTGCAAGGCTGCTTCTGCCACTAGCACCTGTGGGCCCTACACCTACAAGATAGGGGTGTTCAGAGAGTGCGTAGCAGTCCCCCATGAGGACGGGCTGCCTTTGGTGACAACAGGAGACAGACACCCATTGACCTCAGCATTTGGCATGCGGCTCTGCAGAACAGCGCGAGGTGGTCAGATGAAGGGGCCGCCTGACGCTGTGTCTGTGTGCACCAGCGTTTCACCCAGGCAAGCAGTACAACTGGGGGTCAAGTGAGGAAATGGAGGGTGACTAAGCTGTGCACATGGGGGCTTGACACCAGCCAGCCTCAGTGGAGCTGGGGCCAGGCACCCTTGTGAGCCATTCCTGGCCATGACAGCCCTGCCCCATCCCCATTTGATGGTTGAGGAAACTGAGGCACACAAGGTTAAGCAACTGCTAAGAAGAGAAGCCAGGGTGAAGGCTCACACAGTCTGGCCTAGAGCCCCCTACCCCACAAGTCACCGCTGTGGTGAAAATGCTTAAATTCTTGTGGAGGCAGGGACTGTTCACACTGTGCCAGTGAATGTGTGTTCATTTGTTTTTTTCAGGTAGGACCATGTGGACACCACAAAATGTTAGTGGTGATGAGATTGGGAACTTCTCTATTTTCCAAATTTCTACAGTGGACTAACATCACTTTGGTGATCGGAGTTACTCTTTTGGCCAGAACCTCTTATTTGCATTGTTACCCTCTGTGTTTGAAAATAACTGGGTTCATCTTCCTCCAGTGGACTGTGGGTCCCAGGTGATGCTGTGACAGTGGTGAGGACGCCCCTCGCAGCGAACCTGGCATGGGGTGACACCCCCCAAATGTGTGGAGCACACCCAGTCTTTCTGGTGGCTGTTTCTTTAAAGCAGAAAGTTAGTTCAAGAGGAACCTCTCTGGACAACAGGTTTGACTGGGCATAGTTGGGCTGGAAGCCAGAGGAGAGTGTTATCCAGAGCCCTGGGGTCCCAGGAGGACACCCTGAAAACCTTTGCTCAGAACCTGACTGTGTGCCCCTGCCCACCATGTTTTTAACTGCACTAAAGCCTCAGATCCCTGGTGGTGCGATAGGACTCCTGCTGTGTTGAAGCTCCAACTTCTGGGGGACGAGGTCCAGGCTTGTATCCCCTTTCCTGCGGTCCTACCCATCATTTCCGGGGGTCCCTCAGCTCGCAGGTAGGGGCTCTGGTAACTCACTGATCTCTTCCATCTGAGTTAAGATGGTACAGCCAGGCATGGGGGTGTGCTGTGGCGCCCAGCGGGCACCGCCCCTGTTAGCAAGAAGTTCCGCCCTGGCCAGTTTGGCTCAGCGGTTAGAGTGTCGGCCTGTGGTCCAGAGAGGCCTGGGTTCAATTCCCGCTAAGGGCACATGCCTCAGTTGCAGTTTGTCCCCGGCCCTGGTTGGTCGTGCGGGTGGCAACCACTCGATGTGTCTCTTTCACGTCGATGTTTCTCTCTCTCTCTTCCTCTTCCTCCCACTCTATCTGAACAAAAAATGGAAAAATGTCCTCCGGTGAGGATAAAAAAAAAAAAAAAAGTTCCCTCCAGGCCTTGGGACCCTGGGACCCAGGCCTGCTCTAGGGTGTGGGGACCACGGCAGCATCTTCACTCACTACATGGCAGCAGGCTCATGCACACGGAGTTAGCCAGATGGGGTTGCTGGCTCAGGCCTTTCTGCCCACTCACATGGGGAGGCTGGAGCGCTCCTGTGCACCATTGCTGCCCTTTGAGTGGCTCAAGCTGGTCAGGTGAGTGGCCAGGGCCTCCGATAGAACCCAGACACCCAGGCAGTTGGTTGGATGGCTCCAGCCCACTCTAGCCCTCTCCAGCCCAAAGCTCTTTCTTCCAGGAGTGGGCAGAGGAAGCCGCCCTGGGTGGATCCAGTCCCTTCCGGTTCATGCTCCTGACAGAGAAACAGAGCTTCAGAAACCCCTCCATGTGTCTAGGTCACACCCACTCCCATGGGGCTGAGCCACCATCACTGAGGTAGGGACAGAAACTATATATATGATATATATATATATAAAGTTCTCACCCAAAGATATGTTTTTAAAAGGTCTCAAATATCTCAAATTTTAATAGGATGCCCTATATACAAATTCGCTACTAAAATTTGAAATAACACATTAAAAAAATGTTACAACTCAAATTTTTGAAAACCAGAGAATCTAGTTCATGCACCCTGCACTAACCATGCTCTAGCCTAGCCAAACCACCCAGGGTTTTCTTTTTCACATTTCTTCCACACAAGTTACTTGCTTTTAATTCTTGATGTCGAGTTTCATCTTACTGACTTCAGGCTTTTAAAACACAATGACAACACTCAAGACCTATTAGTGCTTCTTTGGGTCAAATTAAAAAGGATCTGAAGTATGTTGAAGTCATTTAAATGCAAACTACATCAATTCCTTATAATTTACTGTCACCAAGGTAGGCAAGAAAAAGACAGAACTTGCCCTGGCCGATTTGGCTCAGGGGGTTGGAGCATAGGCCTGCGGTCCAGGGAGACCCAGGTTCGGTTCCCACCGGGGGCATGTACTTCGGTTGCGGGTTGTGCGGGTGGCAGCCACTCGAAGCGTCCCTTTCACGTCGATGTTTCTCTCTCTCTCTCCCCCTCCCACTCTATCTGAACAAAATATGGAAAAGTGTCCTCGGGTAAGGATAAAATAAATAAATAAAAAGACAGAACTTCTATCATAGGTTATCAAAATATTGCTATACAAAATTGGTTGTTAGACTGACAAACCTCAAAGGGAAGGGGGGTTGGGGGTGGGAAGAAATAAACCAAAGAACTTCTATGCATATATGCATAACCAATGGACACAGACAACAGTGTGGGGCAAGGCAGGAGGGGGGTGGGAATGGGCAGGAGGGGGTCAAAAGGGGAAAAAGAAGGAACATCTGTAATGCATTCAACAATAAAGATAAGTTTAAAAAAATAAAAATAAAAAGTGAAAAAAAAAATATATATATATATATTGGTATACAGGCTATCCTAGCCTAGAGTTGCTTACCTAAGCACTGTATAATGACCTTAAAATTAGTAGCAAGGAAAAAAGTACGAGAGTAAGATTTATAGCCAAATCAACTCCATGTCATAATTATTCACCATGCTAATATTATCAGAAGGATCTCCATGATATGGGCAATAATGACAGCTACATCTAAATCTTCTGAATCTTGATTCGATCATATATTGTTGTGCAGCTGGTGTGGTTCAGTGATTGACCTATGCCTCAAGAGGTGTATGATTTGACTGCAGGACAGGAAACACGTCCAGTTTGCGAATTTGTTCCTCCGTGTGGGGAATGCAGGAGACGACCAACTGATATTCTTTCTCACCGATGTTTCTCTCTCTCTTAGAGACAGGGTGTGGTATGGAGTCATCAGTAATGCCCTTTGCATCCTTTGTGTTCGAGTCATTACCATTATCCTCACTCCAGGTCTTCTCTTGTAGAGCAGGCCCTGACCCAGCCCCAGTCCAAGTCCCTGTACGTTTTGTGCT